TATTCTTGTTTAAAATTTAAAAAAAACTTACTAAAAAAAATTTGCTTGGTTTCTATTGACTCAACCCCATATAGTTATCCGGCAAACTCAGTTAGCCAATGACGACTTGAGAATTATGATCATGAATTGCCGGATAACACTAATATTGAGTCATGTCAGCCAATCATAATCGATGCATGATCAATATTATATACTTAATTTCTTATTCCAAATTAATGCAAAGATCTCGCATAATGCAAATAAATTTTTACGGGTCCCTGTCCAGGGGTAGGATACTTATCACGTGATTGTAAGTTTGCTCAATGTAATATAACGATGGATTAAAATGACATGTATTTCAAATATTTGGTTAAGCGAATGAATCTAAATGTCACCAAAATTGACTAAAACTTGTAAGAGAGCCTTAAATATTTAACCTTTCTTAGCATTCATTGGTTGCTAATTCTTTTATGTATCCCTTGAGATATAAAGATACAGAGGTAGTAAACTTACAACCAGAACAGCATCAAGTGAACCTTCGCGTAAAAGTCATTGCACAAATTATGTTTGGTGAAGTAGATGATGGTGAATCAAGTTAGTGTATTTTATCGCCTAGTGTCCAATTGAGAAGAATATATATCCAAATGAATCTCTTGGCTGAGTTTTATCACGATAAATTAAGCCTTGTCGAAAATCAAAGTCGCCGAATTTCTTGTTGGGGATTCTTCCGGATGTATAATTGTAAAAGCCATTAACGGTATATATCAATCGTTCATTTTAAGATATTTCACGTAAATTAAAAATTTTTATCAAATCATTATTAGAACAAATATCGCTTCTCCAACCACAAACATGTGTCTTGATTCATGACGCACGTGTGGAAATGTATCGTGGGTTCATGCGTATTTTAGTCGATCAAAACACGAATGCAGAAATAAAGCCTTTCGGGGAGGCGGGCGATGATAAAGTTGCCCATGCCAATGGTAAAGGTGATGATATACAACCAAACTTGGAAAAGAATCGTTCATTGACTGAATATCAATATGTACCGCATGTGGTTTTAAACGAATAATAAGAGGTAAATTTTACAAACTGATATACTATTACTATATGATTTGAAATAACATCGAAATCATTAAAAACAAATTCATTAGTGTGATCTGATCAAATATCTTCAGATAATAAACAACGACTAAGAAGCATCAAATTTTCAAAAGGTGTTTTTTTTTAAGAGTTGCTGCTATCTTTATTATTGTTCAAGTTAAGCGAGAAAATCTTTGGTGATTTCAAAGATGCATAATAAATGGTTATTTAATTTTAAAATAGATTCTTTTTTAAATTGAATGCAATAGAATTCAAAACTATGATTTAAATGAAATACCTGGATTAAACAATTCAGATTTTTTTTATTCTGAAACGGTGAGCTGGTCTATGAGCCATTTATATGTATTACTGTTTTTTTTTTTTCCTTTTTTTTTTTACATGTTGCTCTTGGTCTCCCAACGATGCTTTGATTCAAATCTAAATTGTAAAATTATCTATTTAATAAATGACATTATTATTTAGTACACCAACAAAAGGATTATACGTACCCCCATTTCAGTTTTGGTTTTTTCTTTTTCGCTTTCAATTCTTCTTCACGCTACAAACAACGTATGGTTATTCAAAAATGTATAAAACAATTTGATTAAAGATATTTAATACTTACTTTTTTTCTCTCATCATATTCTTTACATTCTATTGCTTCTTGTATCGTATTTTCATAATTCCTTTGTGCAATTTGGTCACTTATTTTTGAAGCTAGATCTAAGTCACCGTTTGCTACAGCTTTATCAAGTTCTTTCTCCAATCGACCCTTCACAATTAAAAAAAGATATTAATGACATTGTACATGATTACGTAGTGAAAACATATTTTAGTTACCTTAGGAGCCAGACGGCCATGATCTACACCTTTCAAATGTGAATTCATGTTTACGTACTTTACTAGACTTTTCGGAATTGTTTGATCAAGACGATGCATTGATGATTGAGAAATGGTTTGGTCTGATGTAGATAATGAATCCGAACGTTTCGGATCCAGCCTTTTCTCTATTTCTTCTCGATCCTCTTGCTTTTTTTTTTTTTTGTTACCATCATTTTTAATTTCTTCCCGTCGTCTCTTCAATTCTTGCAACCGTTTCCATTGCTCCAACTTTACGTTTGGCGGTGGCTTTGTTTCATTTTCAATCAATTTCTTATCATGTGAGGGTTTATTTAAAGAAACTTTAAGTCTAGGTGTAGTCCTTATATTAGGATCTGCCATTGTAGAAAAATTTATGGATTCTGGACTAAAGAATAGCAGTTAGGGTTAAACTGTATTGTAGGCTGCTTTCTTACGATTGGCCAATTTTAACTGACCTCTACAAATTCTACGCGCATAGATCGTGTAACCTAAATCATATGAAATCAGGAAAATCAGTTTTTAACTACCGCTACTGAATTTAATTTTCATCTTTCCCGAAATGCCTCCTCAAAAAATAAAAACCGATTATGAACCTATAGATACTGACCCACATTTTACTCGTGTAGTTGGATATTTCAGAAATTCAGATTATTTAGCTTGGGCAGCGATAACAGCTTTTGGTCCCGCTTTTTACTATTTACTTGGTGAGAAATAATCATTATTAAATGAAAAAAGAAAAATTTAATAAATTAATTAATAAATTCGATGTAATTTGGTGTTTATAGAAAAAGGTGGCCGTGTCCCTACGCCAAATCTAGGTTTTGGTTTAAAACTTAGTGCATGTGTCGGTGCCGCTGGAGGATTTTTATTTGCATATCAAAGGAGTAGTAGTAGGTTAAAAGAGAAAGTTCATTTGAACATAATTTATTATAGATTTGATAAATATGCTCATTAAATATAGTGAGATTTTGGGGATGGACTGAAAATGCGCAAGAATATGAACGAGATTTAAAAGAAATGAGACAACGTATAAAAGAAGGAAAACCGTTATACGGAGTTTCTCGAATGAATGAATATGCTCAGAAATCTTCATCTTGGATGTCTAGATATGCTGCTCTGAGGTTTTGTACGTATATTATACCTCTAACGTTTTTTAAGTGATTGGTTGATTAACCTAGGTAATTCATATGACAGCTGCATTCCCCATATTTAATTTTGTCAACCACAATAATCATGGTGTTGATACAAGCAGGTATTATAAGGATCTCAAAAATGATGAGGAAAAAGAAGAAAAGTTTTAGGACTAAAGGATATTGGTATTATGAGTTTGAATGCTAAATTTTAACGTGGACTGATATTCTAATTATTTTAAAGTAAATAAAATAAATGATTCTGAAAAAAAGTAAGATTCTTTATGCGTCTTCTAAAAATTTCTCATTAAAATACAATCCTAAATATAAACTAATACCTCGTAATTTTAATATTTCTCCAAGAAGTTGAATTTGATGTCTTGTTTAATATGGAATGCATATATTTATGTGTATAAGATTAAATGCCTTGTCATACAATATTGGGATTCCACCGATCTTGAGCAACAGGTAGCTCGGCGCCATCAGCAAAATCACTTAAAGTTTTACCTTCGAAACATCTTTCACTTTGGGTAGTATATAACTTTAATTTTTTAAGTTTCTTGTTATTCCTTACCAACTTTCTCAAATCTTCTAATTGCAAAGGTGCTCTTTCCAAAATTATTTCCAAAAGCATTTCTTCTAATGTAGTGATGTATAATGATAATAAGTGAATTAAATGTACGGGTGATAAATCGCATAGTTGTATTGTTAGTTTACGAATTGGTGAGATTATTTGGTGAGAATTTATACCGCAAGTGGAAATATTAGAATTGTGCAAATCTTGTAAAATTTGGAATGGTTCATCAAGCGATGATTCTTTATAATATTCTAAAGATATTTCTGTCAAATTAGGACAATGAGTAAGAAGATATCCTAATGTGAGTTTATCAATTCTAAATGTAGCATCATGTGATGATGATATATCTATCCTTTGAATATATTTGTGATATGTTAAGTCAAATGTGTTTGTTTTTTGTGCTGATGAAAATAACGTCCTTTTAATAAGGTTCCAGCGTAAAGGTGTTTTTTCATAATTTTTCCAATATTTATCGCCTAAATCTCTCCAAATCAAAGGGATTGTAATATGCAATAATATTGAATTTTGGTATAAACAATTACGTAAATCGCGCCAACCAAGATATGAACAAATTTCTTGCAGTAATTCTACCGGAAGTGTTAAAAGTGCTTTACGTCGAAAGGAAAGTTTATTATTGAAAGACATGCTTTTGTGAATAATGTGAAATTTAAATAATATGAAAGAAAGACTATGTATTAAGTTACGCATATAGAAACTAATTTCCTTATAATTCTGTAATTTCAGCATTTGGAAGTTCCACAAAATTGGCATTTGCTCCAATTGCGTTTGCGCTTTTGGTTAGTGTAACTTCTAAATGCTGATGTAAAAAAACACTAATAACCAATAACTGTTAAAGTCAGGTGTTTTCTGTGGCGAGACTATCCAATCATTATTCATCCAAATAACAGATAAATAAGTGGTTCCAAATTTACGCGTAAATTTTAAGCATTCATCCCAATGGATAAAAAAATCTTGAACCTAAGTTTTAAAAATGAAATCGATAATCTTATTTCCTATCTTGATACCATTGATATTAAACAGGTGGTCTTTTCTAGTTCATGCTTTTCGAATAGACGCGACTGTTTTCATCACGCGATAATTAATGCTTTTAATTAATAGATAGCAAACTTAGTTAAATCTTATTTGAAGGATGAAGTAAAATTCTTTGACGAACATAAAGGATGTTTTGCAGTGATACGTGCCCTATTTAAAGGTATAATTTAACTATTCATTATCAATAGTATAAACAACCAATTTTTATATTTTATTATGTTCTCGTATAGGATCTATAGATGTCCCAGATAAGCAAGATACTGAAAAGCAAGAATTAAGAGTTCGAAGACGCGTCACGATTATGCTAGAAATTGTCAAATGGTTTGTAAAATTAATTCACCAATGAAATATTTGTTAAACAAATAATCACATGACTCTTGTTAAAGGTTAAGCGAAAAAGGAAACGATACTTCCTCGCAATTTGACAAAATAATGTCAGATCTAGTCGAATTATGTATTAATGAAGTAAGCATCCGAAAAAAGTCAATTCGGTATATTATATTATTTTTTTTTACATACTTATTCAAATGTTATTTAACTGGAAAATTTAAAGGTAGTGGTGGGATCAAATATTTCAATGATTATAGTAAAGGCATTTGTGGAGGCCACGACATGTATTATCCATACAATGCAGCGAGTTAAGCCAATACATGGCAAATTGTTTGCATTTCTACCAATGTTTTTGTCTACTTTCGATATTATATCAGGCGAAATTGAGTTACCTTCAGATAAGTCATCTGTTGGTACTTCCATGTCTGGTCCGGATTATAAAGATTACATATTAAATAAAATATGCTCGTATAAATGGCATGCGAGTAATGTTTTAAGCCTAATTGGAGAGTTTCGTGACATACTAATGACAAATGATCAGGTCTGTGAATAGAATAAATATATATTTATATATAACATTATCTTGTTAATACTTTTTATATTATTATAGCTACAATTTATTGTGGAAAAAATTATGAGGTAATTCTCAATATTTTCATAATATGCACATATCTTCTTAATCAATTCGAGAAATGTTAACATTGTATAAAAAGGCAATTCGACTCAATGGATATGAATGGCATACCACCCTTGATATATCAATTGCTTTTACTTTCACGGAAGGTACTTTAGTTTTTTTGGCTTCTCAATATTTTATTGAAAGTACTTTAAACGCTTTATCAATCTATTTAATAGGGTCACAAGCGACTTATTTTGCGAGGTATATCTGAGCATTTCAATAGCCTTGATGAAGAGGTTACCGAAGATGAAGAGCCAAAGTATGTAACATTTTTCCACTTTTATATTAGAATGTTTACAAATTTCTAAGTTATAACGAACCTTTATCATTTTAGTTCTGATGAACGTGTCGTTTCCAGTAATTCACTATCATTTGCACAACTTAGTCATATGGAAGGGACTGTAATAATTCACATTTGCTTCGCTATCACTCAAGATCAGGTAAATATATACAATATCACTTTACATTATTAATGACTGTAATATAACATTTCGTTTTGCCAAAATAGGAATTAGGAAACGAATTCATGAAATATGTAAAAATGAGTAAAACTACTTTATTTACTCCGTTCAACATATCCTGCTTACTATCAATAGCAAGGATACTTAGATTTAAAGATCAGGTACGAAAAATCATAAATGAATTTACAATGAATACTTACTTATCCGCCGCCTTGAACCTCTTAGACACTTGACTTTCTTAAATCTTCTATAATGTCTGCATTCAAAGATCGTGAAAAACTTGAAAAGGCGAAGTGGATATCTCGTATGTTAACGTAATTATCTCTTAGCATAAAAGTATCATATTATTAACGCTATACTATCTCTATTTTTTTAATATTTCAAGATGTTGATGGTTCTCAAATTATCACATCAGCACCGATATTAGAGATATTCTGCAAAATAATTCGAAAGACTTCTTTTGGTTGGGATCAAGTTACGCAAAGTTTAGTACAGCTCGGAATACTTATATTAGATTCTGCTGTTTCATCGAGTCCATTTAGTAAAGTTGGTGAGTAAAAAAGTATTCAATATCAAAGATTCATATAAATTTAAATTTTTTTTTTTTTATTCAAGATACTTTTAAGATATTAAATGGGCCACCAACAACTTCAAATGAAATGGCCGGTGATTTAGGCACGACCATTTTATTCGAAATGTTCAAGGTAGTAGCCAAAATGCTTTAATGCATAATTTGGGGTGTTATTATTATTAACATATATAATCTTCAGATCCACGAGATGGTTCGTGCCGAAGTACTTGAACAGATTCTTAGCCGAGTCATTTCAAAAGCATCAAGCGTTGGATACTTTTTGAACTTACTTAAAATAATTATAAAAGAAACACCGCATTCATTGCATAATTATATCTCAAAAGTATTTAAATTTCCCTAATCATTTATTATTTGGAAGATTCAAATTAACGCATAAAATGTTTCATTTTAGATAAAAGGGACCTTAGATTATTTGACATTTCTACCCACTAATATTGCTGATATATTTCTCAAAGCTATACAACCCATCATACTTGTAAATAAATCATTTCGTGATGGGCTCATGTTGGTTTTGCGAAAGGGAATGTCAACTAAGTAATAAACTATCTATATTTGTAGTTTAGAATTTATTTTTTACTATACTATGTTAAAAATCTTTTAAATTTGCATAGGGATATGGAAGGACGGCAAAATGCGTTGGCTGGATATTTGCAATTATTGAGAATTACTACAATTAGAGGTCTCGATGTGCAGACAATGTCACAAATGCCAATGAGCTCTTCCAAATCTTTGAGCAGACAAGATCAAAATTCGCTCTTCTTTGAAATATTAAGTAATGATTCAATATTTATGGACTGCAATTATGTAAATTAGTTTGATATAAACAAGTTGTAATTAGATTTCGTTATTTTATATCCTAGGAATATTACGTAGATGTTTTAGTCAACAACCACAGATACGACTATCATTGTATCAAGGATTGATTGATTTGATGGATGCAGAGCAAAATATAAAACCTATTGTTTTTGATATCTTATTTCCTCATGCAAGTATATGTAAATTGTGTAAATTATGTTAAGACCTATTTAATTAATTATTAATTTTAATTAATTATTTTTAAATCCAGTTCCAACAATACTTTGAATTAGAAACTTCAATTCACGCGACAATTCTTCTAGATTCTTGTCTCAACAGCGTAGATGGCTCAACCTTTATTATAGAACCTCTTCCATATTTATTTTCTTGTATAAGCAAATCGATCACATCTTCTAATCAGAACAGTGATAATGATAAAGGTATATCTCTCAACAATTTTAATATACAATTAAGAATTTTAATAATTAAATTTTTGGTTTAGATAATAATGGTTACGACAAAGGACAACTCCAAAAATGTAAAGACTTTCTTCAGCTTCTGATTGAAAGGCTGCTCAAAGCCGATATGACGGAATTCTCGATTGATCCGGCTTCTGACTTTAAAATGGCTAGCAATGAGGGGATGCGAAATAATTTGTCAGCAAATCTTTTGCTTGGCTGTTATGAAGTAGGATTTTTTTTGTTTATTCACTCTATAAAGTTAATTATCAATATTTATTAAGTTTCTCTTTATGACAATAGGCTGCAATTGAATACGTTTTCTTCTCTGAAGAGCATACTCTTGATTCATCGCAAAAAATTCTGACATTATTCAAAAAGTACATGATTTTGTATGAAGTCCTTAGGGAAAAATCTGTTAATGTTCGAGGTAATAACGTGTATTTAATGTTTACCATGAGCTATACCTTTTAAACGATCTAATATATTTATATATATAATAGGACGTAAAATATTAACCACGATGCCTGAAAGTACGATTCTAAGCTTCAAATGCATAACTGAACTTATGAATTTCATATTTAGCGATGATTTAAGCCATGCAACTGCGCTGTTAAGAACAGACCCGGAATTTATGATGTATATAATTGCAGTGACGTATAATACAATATCACAAGTATGTATATTCTTCTTTTTCATTTATTTGCTTCGAGGTTATAAGAGATAATAGCATCAATTATATCCTATAAGAGTCCATCTTTTGATCCGGACGATAATGCGAAATTTGAGCATTGCGCATACTTGGCTCGTGTCATAATGAGCAAATTCATCAAAGACGATAAATGTTGTTCAAATACTTTTCAAACTGATGACTCAAGAAAAGATAAAGTAATTCGATTAAAGTATTGGCATTATTTATTATCAAATATATGCTCACAAATATCATAATAATAGGGAAAGTCGAGTCTTGCCGTTGCCTTAGAAAGTTTTATGCTCCTATGTCAAGCTGTATCAGCAAGCTGGCCAGATAAATTAAAAGATTTCTTAGATTTATCATATCAATCGGAAGAATTAAATGAGGATCGTCCTGACGATTTGGATAGTTGGCTTAATGTGTATATTCAAGAATTTGAGGTAAGATTGCTTCATTTGAACTACGTACTGAAATCTTAATCTTACTGAATAATTTCTTATCTACATATTAGCGTCTTATAGTTTCTTCGCTAAGCGAACGCACGCCACAAATTAATGAGGCATTATGGTCATGTAAAACGATATCATTATTGTCAACATATTATAAGAACAAGGTCAAAGACGGCGATTCTGAATCTCCAGGGCACATTGAGCAATTGATCGCATGGCTCAATACTCTATGTAAAGAACGCGCCATTGAGGATACAGGACTTGCTAAAATTATTGTCAATCTTTTACTTAAGTTGGAACGGGACATAGCGGATTTCGATACTGTTGTAGAAATGTCACACGATATGAATGTTGTGTTAGGTCCTCTTACTGGTCGACCCGAGTCAAACGAAACGCAATCGCATACATATATGATTGTTAATGCTCGGACAAGCGCAACAGTATGTGGTATTTTGTTAGAGTTTTTAAATGCAATTTACGATGAAATGGAATGGTATTTGACTAAGTTAAGAACATTATGTGGCTCTGGTAATGAGTGACCTTTTAGCTATCAAGTTATTGAATTCAATGTCAAGTTTGCTTTACCATGTTTTTTTCTTTTAACCATTTAGGTAATGATTCTGATGAAACACCTGAATTAGAAGAAGTTGAGCAAGAAATTTGCTTGAGATTGATAAAACTTATGAACTCTTTATTACACCTTGAGAAAACGTGTCTCCAATCCACCACCTCGGAAAATTTGCTCAAGTGTTTACAGAAGGCTTATAAAGTTCTAGTGGCATTAACCCGATACGTAAGTTAGTGAATCGTGTCACATTCGTATTTTTATTTATATTTATTTATTTATTATTTGTTTGTTTTGACAGAAAATTACTGAAGCAGGCGAAATTCAAGCTCAATTTACTGACGTAATTAAATTAGCTGGAGGCGAATTGACTAATAATCTATATAACTTTCTTACGGCATTTGGGCAAGTCAAAAATAGTGCTTATAGACTAACAAGCAAAAAAGGAAAGGCAAAAGCTAAGCCATTAACACAAAAGGTACCAAATCATTGGTTACAACTTAATCATAGAAATATACCAAACTTATTTCAATTGTGACATTATAGTCTAGAATTACTAAAGAGTCCAAAATAATACCAGTGTTGATTTTCATTTTGGAGCAATTCGAACGTTATACTATGCAACTGTCAAAGAAATCGAAGGTAGCTATATAATGCGCATAATGATTGGAAATATTGTGTTTTTACTTATTTCATAAAAATATATAAAGACCGATTTAATGCAATACATTACAACAACCACGTCACGAGACTTCAAAATAAAAATTGAAGAGTTGGACAAAGATACTGATAATCAACCAAAGAGGGCAAGGGTTTGTATTAACTTCTTACAGACACTAAACGTTTTCAAGGATTGTATTTGTTTCTGACTTTTAATTTTTTTTGTCTAGGCTACTACCTCAAATGATCAAGATGATGATGAGGTGCGTACAAGTTATTAATTAAATCAATGAATTTGTGAATGCTAAGAGATATCATTTTAATAGGCTGAAGAAGGTGGATCAGAAGATCATCGAAGGAGACGTCGTTCAGATTCATCAATGGAAATTGATTAACTCAAGGAATAAATGTAATAGATGTTATTTAAAAAATAATAAATAACCTGATATGATCAAAATGATCATTAGGAAAATTATATTAATTACGTACGTACGTTGGGGTATTTGATGTATAACTCTAAGTTGGAGGACTTTCGGATCTACTTCAGAAATTAAATAGAGGGTTTTCCTCCCAAAGATATATATACAATAAGACGTTGAGTTTTTAAATTAGACAAAAGCCTTCTACGAGTCTAAACTAGAGTTGTTGGTGAAACTAAATTGAGCTGGTGAAATATCTAAAATGATTGGCTGTTTACTACATAGCCAATCAGATTTTAGATATTTCACCAGCTCAATTTAGTTTCACCAACAACTCTAGTCTAAACTTTCAGATCAAAGTTCGAAAGTGTAGAAAAAGAACAAAATTTTTTTTGATTATCACGTAAGATCAATTCAACCCTATTTTATTATATTCAATATAGTAAAAAAGCAATATCTATATCAAACAATAACTATAATAAAACAAACGAAATAATGAGATGGTCGTTGCTGGGAATTGAATCTAGTGTATATCACCGACAGACAACGACTTCACACACTTAATAATAAACTCTCGGATTGAAACTCTAAAAGTAAACCTCTCAAAACAAAGCTCTAAAAGTACAACTCCGTCATTATATTAAACCCAAACCCGTTTTTCTTAATTAAAAAAGAAAATTATCAAACAAAAGCAATACAAGCGGTAAACTTTTTGAAAATGTAATAATCACAAAATGTATTTCACAATACCGTAGAGCACTGCATACAGTACCCGGTGTGACACGATTTTTTACATAGTGAAAAATTAAAAATCACGTGGGTTACACGATTGTTTACATCACATGGCATACATAAATAATATTTTAAAAAATTGATCTACATTATTTGTCACGCCGGGTACTGTATGCAGTGCTCTACGGTAATAGCGAACCCGATAACGCTCATTAATACATTTTATATTAGGTATCTATGCAAAAGTAAACCTATATTGCGATTATTTTCAAATTTCTTTAAAAACCAAAGAAAACGTAAAAAGGGAAGAGAACATTACCAAATCTGCACCGGTAAAATGTAAACCTAATAACGTTTCGATTAAAGTTCAGAACAATATACGCCTAGACATTATTTGATGCATTCAGCAATAACCAATTCAAATAGGGTCGAAATTACCATCAAAAATAGTAGAAATAGTGCATGTTCTAAAGAGAGAAAAAAAAAATCAAATGGGGGTTTATATAAACAAATATTTCAGGTTGTTTACAAATCACGGGATCACGGGTCAAATAAAAAACACTCACCTGAAAAGGAAATTGATCTCGATATTCAAAGCCGGTTTATTTATACTGAATCTAAAATTGGTTTCAAACCCTGTGTACAGACTAGAATTGTTGGTGAAAATAGATCTTATTGGCTGTTTACTACAATAGCCAATCAGATTTTAGATAGTCACCAGTTCACCAACAACTCTAGTACAGTAGTACAGACTAATACATCATGGAAGCGAACAAGCAACTTAAACACATGTTGCACATTATTGCTATTTCGATTTAGGAAATTACCTAAATCTTTTAATATTTGCCTGGTTCTATCAAGTCTAAATAATTAACCCTTAACCTCCAGCTCTGGGTCTCGAATTTATACTAGTGAAGAAGCTTAATGACAGATATATGAATAATTAAAATTTATTTCGCATTTCTATATGATTCTACCATTTATAATCACTAATTAGTAAAAAAACAGATTTCTAGCAGTGCTTGTTATTTTTCTGGAAGTACTAAAATAACAAACATTGGTTTTTTTTTACTAGTTAAAGTAGTGATTATGAGTTGTATAAAAATGAAGAATAACATTCTTATTACCCATTACGGGAATAACCCGGTAAATCTCTGGCCACCTGGGGCCTGAAGAGCCCCTAGGTGGCCAGAGAGTTACCCCATATTTATTGCCAAAAAATTTTTTTAATTAACTAAATCTACATATTATTTTGAAAATTATTTTTGCATAATCTCACAATGTCTTAAATCAGGATTCCAAATATCAAACTCTCTTCTAAGCATTGAATAAGTAGCATCAACTAGTAAAATTATATTTCCTACAGTATATACTAAAGTAATAGCATAAAAGAAATTTGCATTTCCACTACCTGCATAAATCCATAAATAATAAAAAATTGGAGATAATATAGAACAATAACAAAATATATTTGTTGTAAGATAGTTATATCTCATATCTTGATATATTTATAATTTAAAACAAATTTTAAAAAAAATAATTAGTTTATATATTATAGCAACAAAAAAATACTATTATAAAAAAAATATTTACATTTTATAATTTCTGAATAAATAGGAAGAAATGCAAGATAAAGTGATACATCTCCTATTGATGGATAAGATTTAAACACAGCCATAATACCACTCAAAAGAAATACAACAAACAATGGATGATTCCTATAAATAAATAATTATTAATAATTATGTAAATTAAAAAAAAAAAATTACTTTAAATATTTATAAAATAAATACCTAAACTTTATAGATATTGGTACAACAAAAATAAATGCATGCAGCTGAAATACAACCAGAAAGAAGCTTCGAAACTGATCAAACATTTCAATAAAGAAATACCAAAATAAACCAATGTTTGGAGTTAAATCTGATAAAAAAAGACTATAAACAATAATAAATTAGCCAAATTCAAAAGTATGGTTTAAAATTATAAACACGAAATAAATAATATTATATGAAACACACATCATTCCATATGTAGACTGCATAAAATCCCATGAATCAACCAAAAGATAAGATAAAATTAATAATCCTATTAACCATCCAATATATAAACCTGCACAACTATATACTTCATTCTAGAAAAATAAAATTTAAAATTTAAAATTACAAAATGTGTAAAGATAGTAATAAAATATAAAATACCTCTATTTTCTTTTCTTTTAAATTTGTATTATTAGTCAATATCAATATTGCAGGTATGACTAACATTAATGGATAAAAACTCAAATAAGTTGCCATAGCAATCCAAAACATGCTATAACTTTTGTTATCTAATATATTGATATAATTAATACGTAAATATAATAATGTGAAGTTAATATTTTAATCGTAAATTATTAATTACTTTTAAGAGAATAATATGTTCCAAGAACAATTGAAAGATTCGTGAATAAAAGAGTTGACAAAGAGAGACATGATGCAACTGTCAATGGATTAAAAAGATATCTATACCATATAAATAAATAAAGTAATGAAAGAACAAATAATAAGATAATATATACTATATGATCAGTTTATCCTAATTCTCTTCAAAGGATACAATCCAGAAACTATCCACGGATCAATTTCCTTTGGCTTTCCCTCTTCTAATTTTACATCTATACGAGGAAAATCTTTATACAAATGTTGCTTTATTCGTGTTATATCCGCTAAAAGATAAGCTATGAGTAAATCTGTTATTATATAAGTCAACGGTATTGATATGTTTGGAAGGTAGCTAAGTAACTGGAAGCATGCGAGAAATAATGGAGCCTTAAAAAGAGATTCAATTGGGACTTTAAATATTTAGTTTATAAATTACAGAACTAGAAAATTAATATAATGCTAACCTGATGAAAAGCTCCGCCATCGTATGGTGGAACGCCATTATCAAATAAGTAAAGACCCTCAGTTACTGAAATTTTTGATAAGAAATGAATTCGATTAAAATTAGATTTTAATTTTTTTAAACCAAATTATTATTGTAAATGCATACGTCGGGTAAAACTTGTTACAGGCGTTACAATTTCAACTCGACTTCCCAAAGTTTCAGTGATATTAGAAAATTGGAAAAGAATGAAACGAATTGCAAATGCTACACCAAAAATTATGCCACCCGTCAAATTTGGTATTATTTCTATCGTTTTTGAATCTTGTCTAAATTTTGACATAATAGAATTATAGAGTTGAATAAAAAAAAATTAATGTCATTTATTATAATCGGAGGTGAGACAATGCCAGATTAACCATGCGGCTACCTATTAGAGTAGAGATTGTACCCGTCAAGAAAATCTCTACCCGGGTATTATGGTTATCCGGGTAATTTATTATAGCCATATAATAAAATGTCTACCCGGGTACAATTTCTATATTAGAGTCACCGTTTTACTATCTGATTGGTAACACATGATTAACCTTATAACTTATACTGCAAAAACCTTTTTTTAAAAAAACTATTTTTTAAGATATAACATATATATATATATATATATATATATATATATTATATATATATTATATGACGATTGCTATTTGTACACCATGTGTATGTACACACATATATTGATATATCAAAATCCTAATTATATAATAGCTTTTGGGGTTCTAACAAAAAATATTCCTTACAAAATTTTAGTATAAACTATAACCTCATCTAACCCTAAAGCTACCCTCACCCTAACCTTAAGCTATACTAATTTTTCGTTTATAATTTATATGTTAAACAAATTCGTAAATCAAAAATTAGTATGTGTGTATATACACCTGGTGTAAATTAAGAAATTTTCATATTATATATATATATATATATATATATATATAAGAATATTAACATAGCAAGACAAATAGGTTGCGAACTAATAATGCAAACACTTCTTTGTAATACAGTATTTACAATTAAGCTAAAATGTAACTTATTTCTACTACTGCAGTACTGTGAAAAAGTTATAAATTAGTGACGAATAATAAAGTAACGTACATTCATCTTGAATATCACCAGGATCTTTAACAGTCGGGATCTTAGGTGGATCTAAGACATCACACCATTACAAATAAAAAGTTCATAAAATTGTTCTTTTTATTAGAGTATTAAAAATCTAAAATTCAGTGGAAGTTCCAGACTTTGTCAATAACATCGTATTACGATTTATGTTTAGGTTTTAGCACTAATTAAAATATTGTATCGCTTCTCATTGACATGATGCATTATCAGAAAGTAATGTCTCAACGTACACTGTATATATATATATATATATAAAAGCTTTTGCAATAATCGAAAGCTTATTATAAAAAATCAATCAGCCGACTTTGAAAAAATCAACCGACTAAGCTTTAACCAATTTTTATTTATTGGCCAGGATCACCAATTAAAACGCTGCCATTACTCTCATGTCCTCAATTTTCTTTTGTATTTCCGCAGGCGTACGGTCTAATTCTTCGGCGATCATTCTCTTTTTATCCATCGGTAATAAATTGTATTGTTCACACAAATCGCCATCAACCATACTTTTCACGGGTGCGTAAAAACTACGATATTGAAGATGATCACGTCCCGCCAAAGGCGCTGCTTCGTTTCTCATATGCATTTCAAGTGTTTGGAAAAATTCTATATCTTCCCTTGTCAAAAATGGGACAAACACACCAATACTACCCATTATACCAGTATAAGTTAGGATTTCACGTCCACCAGCAACAAGCGTTGTTCGATGGAGGGATGTAATAATGTCCCCTACATGATAATGTGCAATCATAGATACCTGTTTAATTTTCAATGAGTAGTTTGTTAATATTAAGAATGTAATTAATAAATAGTTTAGATAAAAACAAACACACATATATACCTTATGTGGAGCACCCATCAAATATCCTTTTTCATACATTATTTTATTCCCAGTAGGATCTTCATCTACTTCTTCACTTGTTTCTGCTGGTAACCGATCAATAAAAAAATTTCCAAATTTATCTCCACCAGCAAGTGTATCATAATCTATCATTGTAGTAGTTGTTATCCATCTCGGAGTAGTATCATCAGCGAAAATAATGATACGATTATCGTGTGGTCTGTATGATGCATAATGGACTGATTCTTGCATATCACAGACAATAATGCGATTTCCTTGCGTATGTAAATTAACAATGCAATTTGGAATCGCCTATAAATCATGTAAGTGTTAATTACAAAGTATAATGGTTAAAAATTTTATAAGGAAACAACAAACCTTTGACTCGCATTTCCTTAACAATTTCCTTTTACCCATATCGTATATTCTCAGTGCTTTGCCAACACCAGCAATAAGTCTCCCTTGGAATCCCAATAGTGCTAAAGGGATATCATCACATTGTGTCTACATACACAATTGCCAATAAAAGTTGGTTAGCTAATTAATTTTATTTAAATTCACAAACATAAAATTATATAGAATTACCTTATGTACAAGTTTTAAAGAGTTTCCTTCATCTACGAATTGGTATACATGTAAATACCCTGCAGAACACGTGCGTGGTGCCAAATTTGCATCCTTTGCAGTGCCGACGACAAGGAATAATTCATTGTTATGCCCATGAAAGTTTACTGTAGCAATACTTTTATATAAAAAAATTCATAAGCATACTCGCATATAAAGGCGAAATATATACATAAACATATGCACCTAAATGCGGCCTCATTATCTTCAAGTTCTACTAATGACATTGTTTCACCTTGGAAAGGGTTTATAACACGAATGCATGACGCCCATTTCCCATGCTCTGCTTTGGGTAAACCAAACGTCTCCGGAGGTAATTCCAATAATTTAGGATCAAATTGAAATCCATTTTTGGTCTTAGCTTCCAATGTCTTTTCCTTTTCCGCTGGAGAAAATGTATTATGTTCACCTTCGATTACAACAAAATTTCTCGAAATTGGATGAAGGATAAAATGACGTGGTGTATATTTAAGTTGTATTGTTGCTTGATTAAATACTGTCCCTAGTTTTTCCACGGCAAATATTCTCAAAGTGTTGGCAGAGATTGCCACAATACCTTCTGGAACTTGCGGTGATGTAAAGTTGGATCCATATTCCAGCATATCATATGAAAGTGGTGTAAGATGTAATCTGGATTGAAAAGTATAACTTAACCAAGGCCGACTTGACAATGCTAAAACCGCAGGAGATCCCTGAATTTTGACCTGAAAAAGCTTAACCGGTCGAGCACCAAGAAACCTACGATTAAACCCAATAGTTATAAGTCTTATCCGTTCTGCGTCGTAATATAAGCATAGATAAACAAGTACCTTTGTCTAGTATCGGTCAATGCACCAGTAATCGTATCCAATACTGTTCGCAATAATACACCATTTTGTAATCCTATATTAAGATAGAGTGTTCCATGTGAAGCGTCAGTACCAATATCCATCATCTCAATGATGGATAGAGATTGTGGAGGCGCGCTTAGACCCTGTAGCAAAAGTTGATCAGTTATGGAGAGATTAATAACAAAGAAAGAAACTTTGATAGCTTACTCACCTGTGTGCTGAGAACCTCTAAAGTATTATCAGGATCAAGAGAAAGAATCCTGACGGCGTTGTCATCACAACCCACAGCCTTTATTGTGGAAATAATAGCCAGTTACTTATTAAACCATTTATAACCCAATAATCACAACATTGAATATTAAAAACCTACCAAAAACCTTGACCGTTGTCTCCCTTCTGGAACTTCCCCAATACTTAAACAGTGTACATTTGCTGACATTTCCTTGCGTTCTTGATATTCGTTCAGCTGACCTTGATTATCTAACTCAAAATACACGAGTTCACCGCCCGTCAATGCTATAACAACTTGACGCTTGTTAGTTGTAGCTTTCACTATAGCTCTGTTGCCGGGTGTTTTCCATTCATTTACGCGGCGGTCAGCACGGATATGCCTCAAACCTTGAGGATATATCTTTTTTAGATAAATACAATATTAGATTATCTCTAATATAAAAAAACGGAAATATTGCAGAGTAATAATTATTTTTAATATTAAACCTGAAGCAATGCATCATCACCCAGTTGATGAACGTCTAACGTGGGCGTTGTTGCAAGAAATCCGGTATCAGTTACTTCTTCAACTGTTTCCCCGATGGATAGTACCAAGGTTGCATTCACAAATGATACAATAATATACGCATCAAATTCGTCTGTGAAATGCTAATTGAATTAATATTTTTCAATATATGTATTTATTAAGTTGATGTTGAATAGAAGTTTGATTTGACTTACCATCGGATTTAAGTTTAGTAGTCCAAACAGCATTAGGGTTACCAGGCAATTCAGAAACCGCCATCTCAGATACTTCCAGACCATGCCTTAATATCCGGAAAGTTGAGCCGGCACCTCTTCCACATAAAGCATACAATTGTGGTGTATCATCATCTGTAAGATTTAAAACCTACATTGATACAAATTTGAGAATTAATTAAATTGCATATTAAGTAAATAAAATGATCAAAAATCGAAAATTGGTACCTTGGCATCAATTAATGGATTCAGACTTTCTAATTCATCAGCACGTTCCAAATTTTGTAGCTCTCTCGGGGTAAAGTATGCCGACGCAAGAAGATTTAAATCAGTATCCATAAAACTTTCACTGGACCATTCTGGTTCGTCATTATCATCACCAAGACTTGTAAATGAATATAATCGACTATAAGAAAGAAAATGACAATTAGGTTTTGTGAAAATCTTGAAGCGTAACGTAATTATAGCGTAAACCAAATAACATACTGATTTCCGAATTCCGCAGCTACAAACAGAAAACCAGCTCTGAGTATGCATAATGATGCAGCGATGGGCACGGTGTCAAAATACTTAATTTTAATTGCCTTCACCTTATCATCCTCGTAGTCAAGAGTGATTTTATATATATCACCTTCCTCACTTTGTAGTAAAAAAAAGAAAACACCCTTCATCTTATGCATAACACCAGCAACAATTATAAGTCCACGTGATGGGTCCTCTAACGGATTCCTGCGTCGTGGAATTGGCACGCGAAGTTCAGTAACATTTTGGTGCTTGTACGTTATAAAATTTTCCGAGCAAACTAGTACACCAGAAGGACCATCATTACCACCAGGAACTATTATATCGGATAATAAAATAAATATACAACCATTAAGTAAATACATAAAAAAAAATGAAGGAATTTTGAAAAATGCTTACCAGCAAATAGCATATTGGCTCGTGCATCGACTGGGTCACTCCATTTTCTTACAACATGATTTAGACCAAGATCCAATTCATAATACGTTAACATCTAATAATAAAATAAAAGATTATGAGCATAATATAACGGACAAATATAATAAAAGATAATAAATACAAAGCTTTACCTTTTCTGTATTATTAAATGCTTCACCAGTGTGATCAAGGTCAGCCTCCGAATAATCTACTTCCAAACAAGCAAAGACAGGATTGTCAAATCCAACATCCAAGCCTATACAATGGTGTACTAATGTATGTGATTTATGAGCTTCTAGCGGCGAAGATATGGTCAAATTAGCAGCAGAATCGCGATTAAGAATGTAAACAAGTTTTTGTTTTTCAATTGCACCTTTTAAATAAAAATTATGAAATGTTAATTAAACAGGCTTTAGCAAGTTAAACAAACAAAAATACATACCGATCATAACAGATCTCCCTTTTGGATCTACGGCCAAATATTGTCCAGGCACAATTCGTCGACATCCAGATTTTCCGAATGTCTCTTGATGAATTTTATCAAATTTATTCTTTGACGGATTATATTCTAGAATGACTATACGACCCGAATCAGATCCGACTATGATATAATCTATAAAAATATATTGGATATATATGTGCAAAATGAACGATCTGATATGTTAATATTATTGCCCGACATAAAAATTTCGAGTATACCCTTAAGGTAGTTTGAATACGCCAAAGTAAGGCTCTATGTTGTGATGGTAGAACTTCGCACCTTTTGAGCCACCAGTCAAACGAAAAGGTGTCAAAGATCTAACTATTCCAAAAACGTCATGGGTTAAAAGAGTTTGTAATTTTCCTGAATTTGGATCAGCCCTAAGAAATTCTAAGCGTGTTACTCTGGATACAACAATCTCTTGCTGTTTTGTTCCTGAAAAGTGGCCAACCACGGCAACATTAATAGCGGTCGGGGGCTGCAGAGTTAGATTGTAAAGAAACATGAGGCAAAAACACGAAAGGTTTGAGATCAAGTCGATTAATTATCATATCTGTTAAGAAAAAACTTAGGTGTAGACGGTAGGCGCGAGTCATGTGATTTGGTAGGTAGACTTACTATTGAATCTAGTAAAAATGCGCGACAATTTGGCCTGCATTACCACTGTTCTCATAAATTTTGGGACATCCGGTAAAAAAAATTGCTCGAATGATTATTAACAACGTAGCAATAATGATAGACCGGTATATTCTTTGCGATTGTACTTATGAACGATACTACAATTTCAACACATCTAAAATTAAGATTTCGCCTGAATGCATGTCCAGTATGTTTATGTTTGTGTGTTTAGTTCGTTATGACGAAAATGGTTTTTGCCAACCAACAAATCTTAACAAAAAACATAAATATATTACACGATAAAAAAAAAATAACGAGTTATAATTCCCAAACAACTAAGTTTTTTTAAACTGCATTGAAATTTTAATTAACCAAATCACAGTAAAAATCTATAAAAGCATTTTTATTTAATATAAATTATACGTAATGAATTTTTAAAATATAAAGCAAATCAGTACGTATGAATCATATGAAAATATTGAAACGGTTGATCTAACAACTCAGGAACCTTTAGCTTGTTCGTCTATAGTAAACATTTTTGATTGAGTAATACTATAGCAACTAAATCTAATATATTTGAAGCGCAAAAATAATAGTGATGTCGATATATATCAGATAACAGTGTATAATCAGCAAGGTATGCTCGGAAATTGGTGTTTTTTTTTTTTAATTTTTAGCTATAGAAAAGGAAATGTTTTAAAAAATAGGCCAGCTAGAGCTCTTTTTACCCGTCAAGATGTTGGATGAATATCCGTGCTGCCTGACGATCTAAGCATATCCGACCAATCAAAATTCATGACGGGTTAAGATACGTGTAACCCAATTTTTTGCATGTTTTTAAGATTTTGAGCGAAGTTGTCTCGATAAATACCTGATCAAATTCAATAAATTTTTTTCACTTTAATTCTACACATTCGCATAAAAAATAAAAAAATATCCATCGAATTTTGTAAAGTATGTGTCAAAAAAACTTCGCTCAAAGTTTAGAAAGAAACAGTTTCATCTATTAGTAAATTAAGTGCTTTTAAATTTTTTAAAACTTTGAGCGAAGGTTTTTCGATAACTGCCAGGCCAAATTCGATGAATTTTTTTTATTTTAATCCTACACATCCATAAGATCAAAAAAAAAAAAAATTCTCATCGAATTTGGTCATTCTTTCTAAACTTTGAGCGAAGTTTTCTCGACATACTCTATTTTAATTCTACCAATGTGTAGAATTAAAATAAAAAAAATTCATTGAATTTGATTAGGTAGTTATCAAGAAACCCTCACTCAAAATTTTAAAAAAATTCAGCACTTAATTTACTAATAGGCAGGCAGATTTTTTCTAAACTTTGAGCAAAGTTTTATTGATAACAACCAGACAAAATTTGATGAAATTTTTTATTTTAATTCTACAAATATGTATAATTAAATAAAAAAAATTTCATCGAATTTGGTCAGGTGGTTATCGAGATAATCGTGCTCAAAGTTTTAAAAATTTTTAAAAGCATTAAATTTACTGATAGATAGGCAGATCCTAAACTTCAAGCGAAGTTTTCTCAATACATGAATTCGATGAATTTTTTTATTTTAATTATACGAATGTGTAAAATTAAAATAAAAAAAAATTTATTGAATTTGGTCAGGTATTTATCAAAAAATGTCGCTTAAAATCAAAATCTTAAAAACATACAAAAAATTGTTTATATGTATCTTGGTCAGGTATGCTTATATTGTCAGGCAGCATGGATATTCTTGAAATAATACATGTTACTTACAAGAAATTTATCCTGCACGTGACAATCATCTGATTTGTATAATAGTAATTTTCCAAAAAACTTTAAATTAAAATATCTTCACAATAACCTAACTAAATTAGATGAAAATATGAAATTCAAATAAAAAAAAAATTTAAAAAAAATTTACATGCACTCTTTCTGATGATCACCTGAACCAAAATTTTTCACTAAAAAAAATTTATAATTACTTATTGGAAAGTTATGACCTATCCAGTGGTTTGTCTAGAGATCAATTTAAAGTCTGAGAATTTTTTTAAAAAAGATGTTTGGCATGCAAATAAGAGCATTATTATACAAGATAACTGGCAGGCAGCATCTTTGTGTAAAAAATCTTGGTGAAGTGTAAGTAAAAAAGCCCAACTTTGTTGACAAAGCTGTTAGATTGTTACTTTAATAAAAAAATATAGAGAAAATAACAAGAAGTTTTACTCTTTCAACATACTTTTTAGAAAAATTTTAAAAATACTTGCAATCTTTTTCTCTTACTTCTACTCTTCTATCAGTCTTTCAAAATTTTTTTTTGCAAAAAGTAGGAATTTGGTTCACCCCTCCAAAAAATTGGCATTGTTTACTTTCCTAATTTGAATATACTCAGTAGAATACAACCATATAATTTGTTTGTTTATAGTTACGGTGCTACTTCATGGGATGTGGATTGTAATTTCAGAATCTAACCCAGAACCTGTTAGTTTAAAAATATCTAAGGGTAGCAAATTAGTCAAAAAAATTAAAATTTAAAGCAAAGTCTTACATTAGAAATATACAATTATTGCATTTGTTATACAATTTTTATCAGCCTAGTATGGGTTATAATAGTGCAATTTTTCTTTTTTCTTATGTTCTTTTGGTATTTCAAAGTTTTAACAATTGGGCATTTCTTTACCCTTTTAAAAAGACTGTTGGTAGCGATGTTGTCTTTAATAGTAATTCAATTTTTTTAAATAGAAATATATCTAATAAGAAAGAATACTGTACAAGTGAATTTGGCCAGATGGCTTTGGTCAAATAAACAAGAACTGCTAAAGTAAATAGTCAGAAGAGGCACAATACAAAATTTCTAATATTATAGATACTACTTTTCTTTTATTATTTTTTTTTCTTACCTTTTATCTATAGTTTTAGAGTAGTTTTTTTTTATACAATATTATATATTATCTGGCAAACTTATATAATCATGAAAAAATTTTTTCTTGTTATTTTTTTCATATGTTACAATATAATTATGTTATTCCAATATTCAAAAAATAAAACTTAGTGAGTGACCCCCTACCAATTATAATCATAAATTGCTGGATAATACCAATATTGGGCAAATTGTTGAATATGATAATTTGGCTCAAACAAACAAATAATTAGCTGATACGTACCACTGCATAGCACATTTCAGTTAATCATTTGCCTGTTTGAGCCAAATTATCATTATTCAACAATTTTTGCCCAGTATTGTATACATATTTGTAGCCTGGCACAAGCAAAAATAGTGTCATCATAGCTGTCTTTTTTATGTTTTTTTTTTTTTTTTTTCTATTTTGTTCTTGTTATATTTTCATATAGTTTAGTTTTTTCTCTTTTTTATTTCCTTTTAATTTTTTAAATTTTCTGTTATTTATTAGAAGATTTTTCTACTTAGAAGGCTAGAAAAAGAAGGTTGGAAAAGAAGATAGTCATGACAAGCTAGTAAACCAAGCTAGTGATTCAGAGTGTGTCTCTATATAGTAGAAAAAACCAAACTAAAGAGGCTAAACTTATCTTTAACAAGTTGTATATAGATACTGGTAGTGTTACAAAGTAGATTGTAATACAGTGCGATAGTAGTATAGAATAGTTAGTTTATATTCGATTAACTGTATTATTATGTTAGCATTTTATTATTATTATTGTATTATTATTTAGTAGTATAAAAATATAATTGGCTAGTTATATTTGGCACAGTAATACTATATTTAGAATAGCACGAGTGCCTTCAAGTGCCTCTAAGTGCCTTTGCACGAGTGCCTCCAAGTGCCTCTGTACACAAGTGCTTCTGAGTGCCTCTACACAAGTGCCTCTGAGTGCCTCTATACAAGTGCCTCTGAGTACCTTTACACAAGTGCCTCTAAGTGCCTCCATATAGTGCCTCTAAGTGCCTTTTACACGGTTTAGCCATTATACCTCTTATGTGTAGAAAAGTTATAAAAAGGAAGCCTTTTGACCCTTCTGCTCAAGTTAAAGTTCCCTATCCTCTCATAGAACCTAGCCTTATCTAATTATCTCTATTACTCTTCTTATATTTGTATAGTGTAATATTCTCTCTTTAGGTTATTTCTATTATAAAGAATATTACTGTGAACCTGTTATTAATAAATATTATCATCTCTATAAATTGTTATTATCTTGAACCGTTTGCCTCCTGCTGTGAAATAAAAGTATACACTTCACATCCACCTCGTATATATTTATAAAGTATATCACTGCACCGGGTAACCTTGTTATTTTGCTATAATATAACCAAGAAGGCTATAGTATTGTAATATTTTGGTACCTCCTGGCGGAAACCTAAAATATTTGACCGAAAATCCAAACCCTACCTCAACTCTTTCTTAAATATAACCTACTTTTCTTTGATTGAGTTTCTAGCTGACAAGTATAAAATCATAGCAAATTTTATCAGATCTCCCCTAGAAATTATCTCTCTTGAATTGTCTCTTTGGGATTCCAACTCTTCTTTGAAATTATTGCAGGATTGGCTAATGAAAAAGCAATATTGGAATTAAATTATTAAAGGTATAAAATTACTAACTTTATTGTAAAACTTGGAGAGTTTATGCTTTATCTTTTGCAAGTAGTTGGCAGATTAAATTAAAATATTATTGATTGTTAAATTAAATTGTATTTGAAATTGTTACCTTGATGTCATTATTTGTTATAATCATTTTAATCGTTCTTCATGTGCATATTATTATTATTTTTTTATTATTATATTATTTATTATTTTATTATTTATCTTGTTTATAATTATCTCTGGAAGATATTTTTTTTTGCAAAATTGCATTACTACTAAACTGCTCGAAGTTTATTTTCTTTTATGAGAAATCTTGTAACTAGATTTCATAACTAGAATATTAT